TATTTGCTTAACCACTTTAAAATGGCTTTTTGGTTGCTTTTAGTCAGAAAACGTAAAGAAAACGACACACATACAGCAAGATAATATAATTTCACTTATCTGGCCTATCACTTGAAGCAAACAATCATACCTTCTTAAAAGTCTGCGTTAAAAGAGAGCTGCCTGTTGCGCCATTTAATCAAGCCGACTGCTGTAGTCTATATCCAGTTAGGCGTGTTTTCCCTTTTTTAATTTGTATATATATATATATATACTGTTTGAATGACAGCTTGGTAAATCTGTTGGCGATCAAATATTCAATATCGCTACCAATCATAAGTACTTGCTACATTATCAACGCAGCGGGAGACGTTCAAACTAATATCACATAATTTACGTCTCTATGATGATTGGTTGATATCAGAAGGGAGGCTAGCCTCCCTTGCGAGGGTTCTTTTCTCAACACTCCTCAGCGCTAAAAGTGAACACTAGATGGTGATTGGCAAATTTTTTTTACCAACGGAGGCACGAGAGATGACTATGTCATCCGCCGGAACGGCTTCCGCGTATGACAGATAACGGAAGTGAGAAATTTTTTTTTATTACGTTTGAAATATGGATATTTTTCTTAAAAAAACACATAAATTCACTACAGGAGGCCTTTATTCACCTGAGCGGTGTGAGGCACGTTTTATTTGGATGTGCGCACTTTATTTGACGACTTGTGGACTGTTCAACTGCAACACCCGCTGACTGCAATGATAGAGCTTGGAATAGCCAGGACAATTTTTAATATAACTCCGACTGGATTCGTCTGAAAGAAGAAAGTCATATACACCTAGGATGCCTAGAGGGTGAGTAAAACACAAGCTAATTTTCATTTTTGGGTGAACTAACCCTTTAATACACAAGTCCCAACTTCCAAATATCCCTCATTGGAACATTAGCAGATACGCTACAAAGTGTCCACTTCAAATAAAGATTGCCAGCTAATCTCAGTGAGATCTTTAACTTAAGACCTTGAAATATCTTTTTACTGAAATGTCTCTATTTAAGTATAGAATCTAAGTGGAATGATGCCATTTACTTATCTTTTATGTTAGTTTTTTATCTTGTTTCTTGCATCCTAAAACTGTCGTTTATTTTTGACATTAGTCGTTGATCTCATTTTTTCTAGCATGATTCTTCCATCCTAAAACCATGCTGGTGAGGCTCAAACTCACAACCTCGGCATCGTTCTGCATTGTATTGCCTTATAACTACCACGCACTAACCGATTGCGCCACTGGAGCTGCTGTTCCAAAGAGGTTTGAAAACACAAGCCCCAACTTTCAAATCTCACTCATTGGAACATTAGCATATATGCTTACAAAGTGTGCACATCAATTAAAGATTGCCAGCTAATATTAGTCTGATCTTTAAATTAAGACCTTGAATTATTTTTTTACTGGAACGTCTCTATTCAAGTATAGAATCTAAGGGGAATGGTGACGTTTAATTATTTTATGTTAGTCTTTGATCTTGTTTCTTGCATCCTAAAACTGTGCTCCAGGTGAGGCTCGAACTCACAACCTCGGCATTGCTCTGCTTTGTACTGCCTTATAAGTAGCACACACTGGGCCTCATTTATAAAATGTTGCGCAGAAACCATCCTAAATTCTCTCAAATATGCATAGGCTACGTGTGATTCATAAAGTGAACGTACGCACAGAAAAAGCACGTACGCCTCTCTTTCTGTGAAATCTATGAATCGCAAATGATCTTGAACTTGTGCGCAACTAAAGGGTTTAGCTCTCTGCCCTCTAAACGACTCCTAATTAATGTCATTAACATATAAAAGATCACCAGACATCATCCAAATCCTTTAATTTAGAACAGCGAGCTGCAAGAACAGATTACATTTTCAAAAACCTGCAGACCTGACAAGAAAAAGTGTGTACGTCTGCTCAGACCCTGACGTGACGCTAAGCACTTTTCCATGTCAAAGGCAGTTTTTATGATCACTGGCATGGATTTAAGCGTATGTACACTCTAAGATCAAATCTGTGTGTACGCACACTTTATAAATGAGGCCCACTAACCGACTGCACCACTGGAGCTGTGATGGCAATTGGCAAAAATGCATTAGCAAACACTATAAGAAAAGCCAATCCAAGATGTTCGATTACTGGAATATGGAGCTTAAATACACAAGTCTCAACTTCCAAGTCACATTGTTAGAAGATCAGCACCTACAGAATGTCCACCTCATTTTAAGATGGCCAGCCAACATTACACCTGATTTTTATGTTAACCCTTGACAAAAATGTCTCTATCCTAGTATAGAGTCAACATGAAAGACCAACTATATTAGCCCTTTTCTATATCTTTTCTGTATTCATCTATATATTTCCCACTAAGAATGTCTTCCTAAAATCATGTTCCAGGTGAGGCTCAAACACACAACTTTGGTATTGCTCTTCTTTGTACCTTATAAGTACCCTGCACCAATCGATTGCAGCACTGTTTACAGAGAACCATGGGAAACGCCAAGAACTCAATTAAATTGTCTAATTGTGGGGTCTGCTAACCATGATTATTCAGTGATTTTGTGCTTCTAAGAGAGATAGGTAGCCATTAACTCACCCAAGACTCCACACTCCTGTCCAGTCTGCTGTGCCCCAAGGGTTCCTCATCCGGACCATGTGCAAACGAGTTGCAGTACACATGCCATTCAGAGTCTCTGACATACGAAGTTTTTTGAATGCAGTCACACCGTATGCATGACCCTTTATCAGTCCACAGTCCAGAACTGATTCTACCTGCTCTCCTTCTGCTGGCTGCAACACAAAAAGAGACAAAGTGTGTACAAAAGAAAGAGTTAAAAATCAGAGCTGTGCGACTTGAATGTATCATTATTCCTATCAGGACACAGGGAGCAGTTATTATGTGGCATTTGCTTTAGTTAATTGATTTGCAGGGTGTTTAGACTGTAAAAAAAAAAAAGAAAAAAATGTCCTGTTTTCTGACCCGAATGGAACAGGTGATGAGCGCTTTATGGCTATGTGCGTGTGCTAGTGTCTGGAACAGCATTTTTCTCTGGTCAGCATGCTGGATCAGTTCCTCCTGGTTCAAATTCAATGGTTCAGAGATGCCACCAGTAAAATCAACTAGGGCTTCGGCTGTATTACCTCCCTCTAAAGCCTCATAACACCCATTTAGCCTAAAAATGCAAAAAGACACAATTATTATTTTTTTTAAATAAAAGAGTTTTAATTCATTGAAACAATTCTGTCTTATTTGACAAGCATCTCACTTGGCATAAGCTTTCTCCAACAAAGCGCTCCAGAACTCCCGTGGAGTTGCAGAACGGCAGAAGAGCAGCGCTCCATCCTCACTGACTGGTAAACGGTCATCGACCACGACATCTGTCCACTGGCCCAGTCGCCAGAAACGGAAGTGAAAAATTCCAGCATACAGATCTGGGCGCTTTGGGTGCCACTCCTGTTCAGCATGGTCTGGGATCACCTGAATAAGAGACAATTAAAAAGTAAGGAGAAAGAGAGAACAAGAGTGAAATCTTGATAAATGATAAATGCAATCAGTAAAAACCATATACACCACCATTCAAATGTTTGGGCTTGGTAAGATTTTTTTAATGTTTCTGCAATTATTTTATCAAAAATATTATTTGTGAAAAGCTATTATTATATTTAAATGAACTCTTTTACCATTTTAATATATTTTAAAATGTAATTTATTCCTGTGATGGGATTTATTTAAAAAAGAAATATTTTTTAATATTTTACATGTCTTAAATCAAGTGTAGCGTTAGTTCTGGCAGGTCACGTTAGTCAAGCTCGCATCAGCTGACTCTCAGCTGATCCCCATCTACCTATAGGAATACAACACCTATCTAAGCATTCATATATAAGGTCCCGCAGTATTAAATCAGACTAATTCTAAAATGTGTACATAAAATTATTGACCTTTAACGATATCTGCAATACATTTATGTTGGATCTGTTCTGTTTACCCTGGGGGGGTTATCGCTGCTCTCATCCATGCTAGGCTGCGTGGATGCGCAAGGAGTTCTTGCCCAGAACAGAACCATACATCCAATCCAAACTGTATGCTAATTGTCAATCATCTTTGACGATAGTGGTCCTGACAGAACTGTCACTTTTGATCTCATACAAATAGAATGTTTAAATCATTATTTCATCAGCTTCTCCTTCTGTTTTCAGTCTTGAAGGTACCTTAAAAACCAAACTGCTTCTGCAGGAGTGCCATTTTACTTGGTCTCTAAGAGAAGAAGAAGACTTCGTTCTCTATGATTTACTGAATCGTCTCGATAATTATTCATATTTCCTCATGAGCTGATTCGTTACAATACCCTTAAATAATTTGTATGTGTTTAAGGTTACATCTACCCATTTCATTAAAGAAACATTTCAGAATAATGAATCTTTTTTTTTTCTTTTTTTTTTTGTGCAAAAGTAGATAAGTAAAAAGCAGAATAAATAATAAAAACATAAATATTTTCAATTCAAACAAACATATACAAAAAAAAACAGTGCTGTAATGACATAATTTGTCTGATGTTAATTAATTAACTTTTTTATTAAATTTTCCTGGCTTAAACGATTTTGCACAAACTAGGAAAGTAGCTCTCCAAATCAAAATGTGGTTTTTTGAATTTTCCTTAAAATTTTAGAATATTGCTGCTTTAACTGTCTATTAGAGTTGTCAGCATATCACATGTAAATGTAGCATAATATGTTGGTAATCGCCCTCATTTGAAGCCATACACACAACACATGCGCTCTTTGAAGAATCAGGTTACCGACGCCTTGCAGCCGTCAGAAAGACCTTTAATTAAACATATCTCTTATGCTGCTGACTGTGCAGCCACATTTAGAATCACAAGAGTCACCAGGATAGATCTGCTCACTGAGAGGGTCAGACACTACTGGCCTGCCACCAGACCGTATGTACAGTAACATCAGACTGTACTGTACTCTTTTAAAGAAAGGAAATACTTTCTTCTAACATATTTTTCCATTATTGTGGTGTTATACTTTTAGCACCAACAAAATCATTAAGGCCATCTACATGATAATATACTCCTAAAAATTTACAAAATTAACTATTAACACAAACACATTTAAAATGGAAAGCGACAGTTCACAGTCAGTTTCTCTTACCCTAGGTCTCTTCCACATCAGTCCTGGAGGGGGCGTCCTTTTGTAGAACAGTGACTCAGCTGAAGGAGGAAAGAATGGATCTTGGAACAGAGCCCCTCGCCTCAGACATGATCTCTTCAGCTTATGATAACACTGACCTTGAAACTTGCACACTTTCTCTGGCATACTGCAAAGAGGAGAAGCGGAAAGAAGCTGGGGAGAAGATGAGAGAAAAGGAAAATAAACAAGAAAGAAGAAAAGTTGTGGACAAAGGAAGAGAAATATTAATATGCTAAGGGTGAAGTTGGGGGAAATGGATGTATTAAGAGTTAAATGGAATGCAATAAAATATGAGAGAATTTTCATAAAGTGCAACCTGAGTTGACAACATAATATAATTTATATATGCACACAACAAATATTAAAATAATAAAGAATGATAAAATAAAAATAATGATGCCTGATAATGACATTGGACATGGTACAATTCACAGAATAGACAATAATATACATCTGAGTTACATGAGATTAATTTAAAATCAAACCATGTTCAGTGATTATTCCAGTATATAATAAATTAAATATTTAAATTAAATTAAATAAAAATACCTAAGTACAACATTTTTTTTTTTTATATCCCATTTCTGTTAAAGTGACGCCTTTGTTCCACAGCAGTAACAGCCGGCAGAATCTGTAAACCACAATGTTAAGTGTCGTCCTGTAACCTCGAGTTTAGCTTTAGTTTCAGGGATGATTAGGTAACGGTGTATTTGCAGACGGTGTAGTTTCCCTTGGAAATGGAGAAGGGTTAGACATGCCCTGGAGAGGTTAATGTGTCAGGAGTCCCTTTGCACATAAACACATCAAAATAAAATACGTTTAGAGGGAAAGTTATGTTTAGAGGGGTTTGGGATCAGGGTTTAAGAGTGATTGGATATCTCATATTAAAGTCAAGACTATGTGTGTTTTGTGTGCATGAGAGACAGTGTGTGTATGTGGGAAGGGATATGATTTAGGGGACATGTTAGCTATTGGGGTTCTGGCAAGGGGCACGGGGAGGCCAGGGGCCAACTAAGTGTGCTGGTATATGAGCCACCTATGAGTGTTTGTAAGTTTGCGTTAGTGCTTGTGTATGTGTGTGTAGTCTGGATCCAAGTTGTGTGCACATACCGGACAGGCCAACACTAGCACTGCACTCTTGACTTACCTCACTGAGGGAATGAATCAGAGTTTAGCAAAAAAATAAAAAATAAAATAAAACCAACACAGAACATTATAAACATATTCAGTTTTATATCTCTTTGATATTTTAATTAGACAATCTGAAACGATTAATATAAAATACTGACACTTTTGCTTATTATTACTATTGCAACACTTTTTTGTTAGAAAATAATTGTAAAAATGAATTTAAATAATAACAAATAAAAAACAATTATATTATTAATATTAACAAATATGATATTTTGGACCAGCTTTCAGCACACACTGTTCAGGTTTGATTTTGGCTTATTCGTCTATGCAGATTTGCACCACAGGTTCTGGTTAGTCAGATAACACTGATGCACTGCAATTTTCGAAATCTGTCACAGATCATCAGTTGGACTGAGATTAGGGTTTTGACTGGCCCTTTGCTGAACATTCAGCTTTTTGTTCTCAAGCCATTTCAATGTAAATTTGAGTCTGCATTTGGTATCATTCTCCTGGTAAAATTTGCACCACTTCTATTAAACAAAATACCTGATCTCTGGTGATTAGCCCCAGCAGCATCTGCCCTGCATCACCATAGGTGTTTTTCTTTCTTTTTGAGGAGTGGGCAAGGCTTGACTTACACACGTCTTTGAATTATGACTAAAAAGCAACTTGACCAGAAAATTCTATGGACACATTTTCACCTCAGAACCAGAATAATTATGCTTGACAGTGTGGAGTTGTCAGGAAATGGTAGTTATTTTAATGTTTCACATATGGAGGCCAATTGTAAGGCAATTGTATCCTTGTTAGAGCAATTGGTTTTCATCTGTGTAACCCCAACTTCTACAACAGGACTGAATCTTTTTGCAAACACCTTATTTCACAATACCTGAAAGAATGCTGCATTAAAATAAATGTTGTGCTTCAATTCTCAAATATTAAAATATCACAAAGACCCTAATTTCAGTGGGATTTGTAAGAAAACCGCTTAAAGGTCTGAATACTTTTGTAGTGCAGCATATACTCCATATAAACAATGTTGCCATGAAGCCGTATAAAGTCACAACACCATTTAAGCCTTTCCTCCATATTATATTAGCATGTAAAATCATAATATAATTTAACATTTCCATGAAGTGCAGTATGAGTTGACAAGTTGAGCACTTGGAAATTTAATTTTACATGGTAATATAATTTTATGGAAGTATTAAAGTCATTAAAAATAATAACATAACACATTTTAAATTATTTTTATATTTTTATAGAAATTTTTATGTGGCAAAAAAAAGGAAAAAAAGAATCAACCCATGCTCATGCTCATTAATTATCCCAGTAGGCCTCTATAATATGGCAAACCACTGTATGAACAATGAAAAAATAATATTGAAGACTAAATTCAATCCCACTAAAAAATAGATGCAGCACTTACCTGTACCTCACCTTTGTTTTTTTGCTTTGCCTTGGCGTAAAATGTTCCTCGTGGCAATGTATCCGGTAATTAAGTTATTTTCAGGTAAGGCTGTTATTTGAATGTATTTACACAGGATGAGGCGTACAAGACTTCAGTCATTTTGCAATAGTAGTGTCCATGTGTCTAATATAACAGGATCAGTGTAGCAGGTGTTCTCTTTCTGTTTGACGTCGCTGTGACAACCAGGTTTTGTGCGGTAGACCAGGTATGGGTATCCTTGGGTCTTCTAAATAGATAAATACTCTGACATTCATTTGCATTTTCAATATAACGTTTAATTAATCCTCATAACATGTAATATTGTGTATGTCAAGTGCCTTTACATCTGTTCGTGTCTACCTGCACGAGGACTGTCATTTGTTTGGGGATGTAACTCCATCCGTCCAGCCAGTCTAGCTGAAAACACAGTGACATATAACAAACAATTACTGATACTGAGACGAGTGTGTGCACACATACACACACAAAACACGCTATCAGCTTGCAATGAAACAAAAGGTTCCTATTAAGACACACAACAGCCAGGAAGGGCCACTTGCCTACTTGGGTGCATAAAATGTGTAAACAGTGCAATAAAAACAAAGGCAATTAAGTGCATGTATCTCATTTGCTTTTGTTCCATCTAATTGTATGCATATTTCCTCTTTAAAGGTTTCTCTTTTCTCCCTCTTTTTCTTTATAAAATGTGTATTTGGTCATGCCCTCTCTCTGACCCTGAAACCTCAATGAATATAGCGAGCACAACTCTTCTCCCACTGCCACCTGTCTCCCTCATCGCTGTCTTCCAGTGTCTCTCACGCTTACATTAACACATGGGCTATCCCTCCTTTCCAAATCCCTTAATTAGGCATGCAGCTCCCCCTGCATACAAGTGCATAATCACCCACAGTCTCACTCACGATCTGGCTTTCTTGTTCACTCGGGGTATTCCCAGGTTCTCACGTAGTACTTATCTCAGTCCTCTGTCTAGATTTGTTATCCCTCTCATTCTCTCTCCTTCGCTTTTCAACCCCCTCCCTCAGGCACCCACCAGAAGGTTCATCATACCATATCGGCTGTCAATAAATACATGGCACTGACACCTGAATCCTCAAGAGGGCCCAGAGCCGGGTAACGCACCCAGACACCCCTCTGAAGGCACACAAACTTCAATATCAACAGCTAACCTCTTACTTGAGACATATTAATACAAATAAACTATTGCCAAGAAACAGTGTTTTGCATATTTTCCAAATGGCTTTTGCAGATGACAGAATGGCTTGTAAACTGAGTGCCAGCCAGTTGAGTTAATGCAGTCTACATGTCTCTGTTATAAATACACATCAGCTAAAATTTAAACCTGTTCAACTCACTCAAGGACACAAAGAGTCAGGTGGGACAATAGATTAAACAGATACTACTTCTGTCTTCTTGACAGCCAAAAGGTCAAATGATTAATTAATCATTAATGCTCTAGTTATCAATAGCCTTTGGCTAGAGCATTGGTGTGGGTCGGCCTTTATGTTTTCATAGAATTATATATATATATAGAGCAGGCCCGGTACTAGGCTCGCTGGACTGGGGGGGCAATCAGAAATTGTGGTAGGGCAGCACTTTCTAGGGCAACATTTTCTAAAAGATTTGATTTTTAATATTGCTCAGTTGAATTGTCCAAACACTGAACCTGCCACATGAGACTTAAGTAATTAAGGATGTGTCTGTAATACGACGCCTGAAGCGCTTATTTCATAGTCTCAGTGTATCTTAAGAATTTGTTAATAAATGAACCTTTTTTTTCACTTTGACCCGTAAACGTTTATGGTAGCCTGCTTTAATCTTTGCGGGGATTCTGGAACTAAACAACTATCGATTGTGTGCTATCGATTAGCTATGCCTAAATCGATAACGCGTTTTCTGTTTGCCATTTCTTACCATCGGCTTTGGCAATGCGCATGCTCCGTTCCACTAGTCTGAACCACTCTCAAAAATGTCGATGTGGCTTTAATGTGAACTCCTATTGATTCCACGTTTGTAAACAGAGGTCACTATGGAAATGTTTGCCATTCTCTTTATTTGCATGTTGAGCCCCGTCTTGGCAAACCAAGAGGAGCGATTACCAAATAAATGCGAGGGTAAGAAACAGAAAGTATCATCCTTTCGTTTGTCACTTAGGTGTTGAATGTAAATAAAAAAATAACAAAAACTATCATACAAACTATCCTATAATGTAATTCATATAAAATATCCCCTTGTGCTAAGTTTTCCTCTGTAGGCTACTTCGTGTGTAAGTTATTCAGTCAAAACGAAAGTTCAGTCGGGTTCTAAAGTTTTTTTTTTCTTCCTTTTAATAGTTTGTAAATTACTGACGGTGGAGTTGCAGGACGCCCTGGAAAAAACTGGCCGCTCGAAGGAAGTTCTAGAGCTCGGAGAAGTTTTGGACACTGGCAAGCGCAAGCGCAAAATAAAATACTACACTTCGTAAGTAGTGATGACATACTGATATGTCAGTTCTGTCCCTATGAGAAAGCTTAAAAAACAAAACCCTTAAGGTTAGGGAAAAAACTAAATGTACTAATGTTCTCCCACCTCTTGCTATTACGATTTATTTGTTTCCAGAGAGACGCGACTTACTGAGGCCATGGACAACATCTGTGAAAGAATTCTGCAGTATAAAGTCCATGCTGAGAGACCAGGGAGCCTTCGCTATGCCAAGGTATTGAGCTCACCTTAGCACTCTTTCCCAGCCCTCAGTTGCATGAAATTCAGTCAATTCTTATTTATGCCACAAGTACTTTAAAGGGGTCATATGATGCGATTTCAAGTTTTCCTTTCTCTTTGGAGTGTTACAAGCTGATTGTGCATAGATAAGATCCCTGAAGTTGCAAAGACTAAAGTCTCAAAACCAAAGAGATATTCTTTATCAAAGTTAAGACTCTGCCACGCGCATGTCAACATATTCTGTTACACCAAATACACAAAATAATGATCTTAAAAAAAGCATCATATGACCCCTTTAAATGTGTGGATTTTGTTTGCAAAATGATAAATCATTTTAGACTGCTGTGTTTCTCAGGGCACAAGTCAAACCATGAACACACTGAAAAATCTGGTGGATAAGGGAGTGAAGGTAGAGCTGGGTATCCCTTATGAACTGTGGGATGAACCATCAGTGGAGGTGGCAGACTTGAAGAGACAGGTAATACTCATGCACTAACAAAGAAAGAGCCGTGGAGTGGTGTAGTTGCATGTTTTCATCTTCATAAATTATATGTAGTTATTGTTTGAGATTACTAATAATTTTTTATAGTGTTTATGAACTGGACTGTCGGTTTGTAGAATGTTAAAAAGAGGATCAATATACTGTCTTCTAAATGAAAAATATACCTTTTGGGACAGTATGGTCAAATTTATATATTTTTTTTCTTTTCATGTTTATATTACAGTGTGAGACCATGTTGGAAGAGTATGAGGAGATTGTGGAGAACTGGTACTTTCATCATCAAGATGAGAGACTTGACAGATTTTTCTGTGCAACCCATGTCCTCAGAGACTCGGACCAAGGTAGAAATACACTGTGTCTCTTAGCATTCACGAACATACAGACTCGTAATATAATCCTTCCTCTACGCATAAGCCACTATTTTCGGGCCTTATTTGATCTCTTTCAGAGTGCCTGAATGAGGTATGGAAAGGTGACATGGGTGTAAAGGGATCCAAAGAGGAGAGTGAGGGAGAGAACGGAAGACAGACCCATGACGCAGGAGAACTGTGAAAGCAGAGCCATAATGGTTGATGAATGCATACGACCTGTATGACATCTTTGCACAAAACTACAGGAACCAAGGAAACATCAAAGTTTTTTCCTCAAATCTACATGAACGTGACTTTACAGCAACGAACACTAACTGTACGTGTTCAAAATTGTCCTAATCTGTTACTTTTGCCAGATCATGGTATGTGAACAGTCCTTGGTGTTTTATCTCTTTTTCCATGCTGATATCATGAATTTCTCAGTGTTACCAATAATGAACAAAGACACTGAAATGTGCCTTTTATTGTGTATTATCTTATAGGGATGTGTTAGAGCAACTACAAACACTAACAGTTTTTTTACTGATCGACTTGATAGGGAATTGTATATGTATTTATCATTATTGCACAACCATGCACAAACCAAAAAGATGCTTTTAGGATTTTGTATTGTGAGGTACTTTAAATATATTTTCTCCTGATGTAACATGTACAGTAATGTTTTTAAACAATGGATTCTTGCTATAAATCATAAGTGTGGCGTCTTTGTGTGTGTGTGTGTACCTGTTTTTCTATTCTGGTGGGGACTTAAACCTGACTACACACAGACTCATGGGGACTCGTGTCACGGTGGGAACCTAAATTGAGGTCCCCATGGGTAAACCTCTTTAGGTCTGGCTCATCATTCCCCAGTCTTTTCAAAAAGAGAAACGATCCTATCCAATTAACTATTTAAGGTCAGTTGAGGAGCCTGTACCTTCTCAACCGAGGGCTCCAGTGGCGCAATCGGTTAGCGCGCGGTACTTATAAGGCAGTATTAAGCAAAGCGATGCCGAGGTTGTGAGTTCGAGCCTCACCTGGAGCAATTTTAACATTGAGGTAATACTCATACCTTCAGGTCAAAATTAGCTCGACGTGAAATTCTCCACACTGCGTATGCAATTGCCGATGTCCTAAACTCCCGGGTGCAATTCAAAGGAGAAATTAAACAGCTACCCAAAAAAAACTTTTTTAAGAGTAGGGAGGGATATTATTAATAAGAGCTATCCTTAAATTAAGTGATATTAAGTACTTATGGTGGCATTAAGTGTCAGTTGCTTTGAATTAAATAGTCTTGAAGTGGTAACTCACCGTCACCAGAACAGATAATAACTACATATTTAATTGTGTAAGCAATTAAGTTGCAGGACGCCTTTTTTGTCTTTGTTTTTGCTTATTGTGCATAAGGGTATTTTCGGATGTTTTAGTAAATTGTAACCTTGACATTCCAACACAAAATGACTACAATTTTTTAAAAGTTTTTGTATGAAAGATAATCTCTTCTTGTTGATCCCAGTTGGCTGGAGCTATATGATGTGCATGAACTGTCACCTAGTGGTTAAACACATGAGTCATGACAAGTGAATTCATGCTTATAGGCCTGTCAAAGGTCAGTAACATTATCTATAACACACTTATAATAACGCCCACAGCGTTCACTGTAACACAGAAACTTAATTAGCAGATACTAATTACGGTACTAACCAGGGGTTTTAAGAAAAAATTCCACAATGGCGCCCAAAAGGGGACTTAAAACATCTTAGACACCACTAGGGGGCAGTACAGTTCTAAAGTCCTAAAACATAAACTAAAAACCAACTGTGTCCATTCATATACTGGTTCACTGATGGGGTGACAAACGGTCCTTGTGGATAATAAACCGTTAACTTAAGTTGAAAGATATATGTGTGACATTATCACCAGTAAGGGACCGAGAGATCCGTCTTACGTTTCCTTTTTCAAGTTTTAGGAAACATGAGTCTCATCCTATTGTGATGATTATTGTTCTGACGCACAACCTAAGCTCCAGTGGCGCAATCGGTTAGCGCGCGGTACTTATACAGCAGTACAAAGCAGAGCAATGCCGAGGTTGTGAGTTCGAGCCTCACCTGGAGCAGTTTTAGGGCCTTTCTGTATCAAGGTAAATCACACAAGGCACTGTCTATGTCACTTACAGGGGTTCATTGTTGTACTTGTGGGACACACAACCAAGACAGCTTTATTTCAGTGATCTACCGTTAGTTATGCTGATTTCTTGTCATACACAGTAGGCTAGAATACTAATGAATAATATGTCTTGTTCAATATGTCTGACTTGCATTTATAGATAAGTGTCTAGAATATCATTAATGACAAAGAATGCTTTGAAAGTGATATTACACTTCAGCAACTTTTTTTTAATTACATTAATAGAATCAAGTTTTTATTACATCTAAAATTATACGCAAACTCATTGTGTATTTAAATATTTGATATAGTGCACTTTTTCATTCATTTCTCACTCTCTCTTTTCCTAATGTGTGTTTGTTTAAAAACGTCTTAAATTCCCACTTACAAACATTTGAAATGAAAGAAAACGCAGGGCCAGCTGCTAATGACTTCTATGACCAAACACAGTCATTAACTGTACTGCACATTCTTTTAAACATTATTAATCACACATTATTAATCACACATGTATGACTTCCTACCAGTGCAGTGCTTTTGTTCTTGGTCATTAATTATTGTTCGTATGGGTCATTTGTGAACTATATAGCACAGATCATGCTTTGCCCTTGTTTTTCTTGATCAGTATATCTACATCACAGAATTGTCAGTGTGAACATTTGTTTTTAATGCATGCATTGAATACCAAACCAGTGTATCACTCAATACTACAGTATAGTTTTGAAAAGAACATATTTCTGCAGACCACAGTATTTAGAATCTAATAATCTTGGGAACATGTGCTTGTACAAGACCTGCAGACATTGCTAGTCTGCTTATGCATTTTAACTGAGAAGAACCATAAAGTGGGAATTGATCTAGACCAAGTTACACTGCAGGATTCTGATACTGAATCTTTAGTCCTCGAAATGTTACTTTTCAAACAGGATAAAGCATATCTGACTTCAGCAGAAATATGAGTTCTAACATTTGTAGAAAACAAGTCATTTGAACACTTCTTTATTTTTTATTCTTTATTCTTTACCATTCTTGTGTTCTCCTATAACTAAATAACAGGAAAAATGTGACTGTGGTTTCAGAGGTAACTTCTACTTAAATTTTAAAAACAAAAAATAAAGATAACTTTGTCCTTGCCTAAGCCTGAATTTCTGCCATCTTATAGCAAACTATGTATTTTTCTGGCATGATTTACCCCTAAATGTTGAATGTTATTCTATGTGATAATTGATCCAAACAGTTATGAAATGTGTATCCATGGAATTTATAATGACGTGTTTCATTTGAAATCAAAACAGAAATTATGCCAAGGATTCTGACTTCCTTTCGTCAAAACAAAGCTCTCACGAGCAGCTGTTTCAAAATCAAACACAGTTTTGCACTGTTTGCATCATCAAATACTTGAAACCTAATTAAGGATGAAATGAGTGGAAATGAGACGAGTTCAGACAACAAAAGAAGCAGGAGGAAAAAAAACTGGGTGATAAATGACTAAAGCTGGTTTTAATATTTAAGAGGTTACAGAACGTAATTGCAATCAAAAGCTAATACTCCAGCACTGTTTTTTTCTTTTAACAATAAATGAAATCCATAACTTGATAATACTGACAAATGAAGTGCCACTATAAAATCTATAGGTGTATTTTCTAAACTAGTTGCAGTCTGACCACAGTAGCTCTCACCTCCATTTGGTGACATTCGCTCTTGCCGCTCACTTCTCTCCAACACACTCCTTGTCTGGTTCAATGTCTGGACTTTCTCCAGCCTGCTTTCAATATCACATGGTGTAATAGATCCAGCAGACACTTTCGTGTGTTGCAGCACCCAAGTCAAACTGATCTGTGTGGTGAAAGAATGCCAAGAATATGTGATATGCTCAATTGTACCAGTTCATCCCTCAATTAAGTTTGTTGTACTTGACAAGCATCCCAAAACATCAAACCTTAAAAGTGACATGCTCTATAGCATGGGTACACACAAGCATACACCTGGGAAACAGTCCTCCAGGGAAGTCATCAATCAGTTTTATGGGACTGCTCTGGGAGAGTTTCTTTTGTTTCCCTTTCAATTCAGTTGTTCTTTTTTTCACTCACTCTCCTTGCCTCACCCTTACTCACTTTTTCCATATGTGTCAGCTTTAGATCCTCTCCAGAGAGGGAGCGCCTCGTTCCTGGGGTTACCCAAAGTGTTGTTTCAATTGCACATTGAACTTTGAATTGACGCCCGCGAGGGTACAAGTTCAAGATCACGGTGCGTAACCAAAATTGCCTTAGGTGATATTAGGGATATATTAGGAAACCGAAAAAGGTTTGCCTGTCTTTCTTTGCGCATGCATTCCTAATGTGCTGAATGCATGTACAAGCATTTAGTGTGTGTATGTATGTGTGCGTCCTTTGCCAGTGAAGGAGTTGACGTCAGGGTGATACGTAACCCTGCCGCGGCGCTCTGAATGCAGCAGGAACTTGCGCTGCTCAGCCTGAGAATATCTGTCCACTTGTCGTGCTGTTATTGATCAACCAGGACGCGGCTACACTGGCAACCCGCATTGAAGCGCACATGGTAGGTAAACTCAGTTTTGCTCTTGTGCACCTTTTCAGTCCCCGCTTCTGTCTTTAGGTCAGAACAGGCTTGATCAGGACTGCTGACAAGGGATTTAAATTTAGAATAACCCGTTGATTAGTCTTAACCAGTGATGGTGCTAAAGTAGCCCGCGCACTGAAACTCTAGTTGTTCTTTATGGAGATGTGTTTGATCAAAGTGTTATTTTTTTTTGTAGGATTATGATTGTTATATATATTTTTGTATACATGCACTTGCATGTACATAGCACTTTTTATTGCAACATGAATCGGGTGCAACCAGATCATTTATTTTACATCATTAATTTATTTTATATTTTCATTTGTTTGTACAAATACAAATACAAAACGTGATTTATTTAAAAAATAATTGTCTGCTGCTTACCTAGAATATTTTCCCCAAGCGCTATAATCCGTATACCAAGTATCTTTAAAAGTGTTCTCCTGTAAAAAATAAATTAATATATAAAAGCCAAGTGGATAAAAGATTTTCACTTAATTGAAATGCATATTTTAACATTTAATAAAGCAACTAGCAACATTTAATAAAGCAGTTGTAAATGAATGCATATTATTATTATTATTATTATTGTATTGTGCTTATCAGGTTTGCATCAGAACCATCAAAAAATTAAATAGAATAAAGTAATAAATAAACAAACTGTAGTAAACATAGCCCTAAGAAAAATACGTGATTGATTGTCATAATCAGGAACCTGTACCTGTCAGTGGCGGATGGGCTGGATGATTTGTGAATTGTACAAAATTGTTCTGCCGGAAGGCTATACGCGTAATTTAAGGATAATGAGATCATTCGTCTACGCACACACCGCAAATCTTGTCAAACAATCCTGAAGTATTATTTAGGTTAAGGAATATAATAGTCCACATTCCACTGCATTTTAAGAATAATGTTATTTTCATTATAACCATAGATTCATTATAAAGATGCAG